GTGACGTGCCCCCCACACCATCAGTGACGTGCCCCCCAGTTCATCAGTGACGTGCCCCCCACACCATCAGTGACTTGCCCCCCACACCATCAGTGACGTGCCCCCCACCCCATCAGTGACGTGCACTCCTCACCCATCAGTGAGGGGAGAACTCAAGAGGCTCGGTCCCCGTTAGGAATGGTCCTGGATGCGCCCAGGGACGGCACCAGCGCCATAGCTGAGCTCTGACTTCCAGGCGTTAGGAATCGGGTCCCCAGTGGCAGGGACACAACCTTCACTCCGATTCCAAAACCCAAACTGTCGGATCAGCGAGCTGTGGGTCGGTGGCTGATGGGCAGCGGGGCTTCCTGGGAGCCCACGTGGCGCCTCTTGGCCCTGTAGGCCGGGCCCGGTGTGAGGGCTGACGAGGTGCCCAGTACCTCCCCCATCCAAGAGGAAGGGCGCCGTGTTCCGGATCCGCTGCCCTGCGGGAGTGACTGAGGAGGTGCTAGACGGTCATTGCTGTCGTGTTGAACGTCAGCCTGCAGTGCGCACGGAGACTCCTGGAAGGGCCAGGGCAGGGCGGCAGCCTCTCCACACGCCGCCCTGCCCATGGCAGCCGGTGACCTGGAGCTCGGTGGTCACTGGTCCTTAGTCTCCACCGTGGAGGGGAGGGTGGGGAGGGGAGGGTGGGGAGGGGTGAGGAGAAGAGGTGTGGGGAGAGCAGGCAGCTAAGCCGCGGCAGGATGGATGCTGGTGAACCTTTGTGAAGGAAGGAAGGTGATGAAGCCGCATGGGGGCGGGGCGTGTAAGTGAAACTCTGCTCATCTCTGCTCATCTGCTCCGAGCGTGCGTCTCGTCTCCCCGAAGTCCCGCGTGTCTGTTCCTCAGCTGTGACTGCGGAGCCTCGTGCCCGGGTCCGCGTGGTGACGTCTCGGTGTCTCCCTCAGGCTCTGAGTTACACAGGCAGCCACGAGAAAGTCCACGCTCCCAGCTTAGTGGAGGAGGAAGTCCTGAGAGAGGACGGATCAGTCGTGAAAAGGTTTGGGTAGCACGGCGTGCTCCTGCCAACTAACCCTGTTCCAACTTAAGAAAACCAATGGGCCACACCCCAAAGCCTCCGGGGTCAGGGAGTCAGGTGACACCAGGTGTGAGGACGTGGAAGCCTGTCCCCACGGCCACGCCTGCTCCGTGGAGGCCAGCAGGGGGCGTCCGTGCCGACAGGTCGGGCATGGGGAGAGCCTGGTCATGGCTCGTAGGTTGCTTGCCGTGTGCCCTGCCTGCAGCTCAGTCTCGGGTCATCGTCCTTTAACAGCACGTGCTGCGTGTGAGCGCTGGTCCTGCTTCTGCATGTGGGGCCGTGGGCCTGAGTCCTGGCGACGCTGAAGCCGGCGCCTCAGTCAGCTCGGGAAGTGTGAGCAGCCATGAGCAGCCGTGTGGGCCCGTGTGCGCCTGTGGAGGGGCCTCACTGCGCGGCGCCCGCGTGGCATCCTCACGACTTGCCGTGTGGTCGCTGGCGTCTTGCCTTGGGCTCTGCCCACGCAGCCCTGTGAGCACGGAGCACGTGGTCTCGGGTTCGCAGCACAGTCCCCGTGGGCACAAGTCCTGTTGTGCGCCTCCCTCCCGCACAGAAGGGACAGCGGTCCTCGAGGGGCACAGGGAGAGCCGGGGAGGGAAGGGCTCTGTCGTCCCCTTCGAGCACACGGAAGAGCAGCCGCGGTGAGAGCTGACGCGTGTGACGCTCACACAGCTCACGCCCCTGCGTCACGGAGGATGCCTGTGTCCGCACTCGGTGCTCTGGGCCACCCAGAGAGCCGTGCTCACAGCCCACTCAG